ATTGTCTACCCAAAGAAGGAAACTGTGGCAAATTTAAAGCAGAGAGTTTTTTGTGCCAAGGTTGAGCACTTCACAGTCGGGGACACACTGAAGTGCTCAGAAAACGAAGGAGAGGCTCCAATTTTTAAAGGAAAAAGGACGAATCAGGAAAGGGGTGATGACACAAGCTGTTGGTCAGGAATTCTAATTGGCTTGCAGAAGTAACGTTGACTAGTGATTGGTTATATAGTGTTGAATGACGGGGTGTGAGCTGTGGTATCCGGTGTGGGATGGCCATTCTTGTTAGATTAATTTGTAGCTATTGGTGGCAACACTCAGTCTTGAGTCCATACAACAGGTGGCTTAGAAATAACGACTTACCTCAAGGCACCTGCGGCGTGACTCCTCTCATTTTAACTCTTCCCGGGGCCTGAGACTTCCTCACGTTCCTCAGATTAAAACTTTATTTTCTTTCTCACTAGGTTTCGGGGCTTGCTTTGTGGGAGAGGAGGCCCTTGCTTCCATGGCTGCCACGGGGAAGAGGATTGTGGCTTCCGTGACTCACGTCAAAGGCAGAGGCCGTCAGAGCTGGGCTTCTGAAGCCTGCCAGTCTCCTTCGGCTCCAAGTGCTCAGCAGGCGAGAGCCCCACACTGTGGCTGTTGTTCTCAAGGTTATTTATTTGTGAAGCTACATGCTGAGTTGTCTGGGCGCAAAGCCGCCCCCCTCGTCCCCAAGGTGTCTGCAGCACCGCGCGGCGCTCTGCCTAGAGTCGGCACATCATCAACGCTCACTGAATAAATGAACACATACCTTTTATTCTTTCAAGAAAAGTCTTCTGTTTCTTTGTCCTGGCCGCTCTTACCGTCTCTCCAGGCTTTTCTAGCCCCAGAGCTGACAGTCCAGCAGGAGATGAAAAACACAGTCAACTTTTGGCCAAAGATTCTAGACCGTGGACGAGGGCGGGCTGGGACTGGTCTTGTGAAGTGCACGGATTTGAGCTTTTATTAAAGAAAGATCAGTTTCCTCCTGGGAACAGGATAAAACCGAGCAAGGAGAGGTTTGGCTGGGGCTGGCAGGGCAGCAGGCGCCATCCACTGGGAGCCTGTGTGCAATTCAAAGAGATGAGAGAAGACAGTCCCCGGGGGAGGAGAACTCATCCAGGAAACGGAAGGGCAAGGATGCGCTGAAAGATAACAGCTGCATTGTTTCCAGATTTTCAAAACCTCTGTTAAATGTTCTAAAATCCTCATTAGCCTTACAAATCACAAGCCTTTCGCCTGCAGACATAAGAGCGTTTTAGATATGCAGGTCTCTGGCTGACCCAGGAAACCCTACGTTAAAATGACGAAAGAAACTGCGAATCGGTAGAGCTCAGCACAGCTCCAGACCGAGACAGGCTCCTGTGAGGCGTTCGGAGGGGCGGCCACCAGGAGGGCCTGTCTCTGGTCTAGGCTGGGAGGGCAGGACTCTGTGCAGTGAATTGAGGAAGCTGGGAAATGTTTGTTCAATTAAATATTTCAGCTGTCAGCCAGGATACCTGAAATTCCTCCTAAGAATCCAGATCTGGATTTCACACCTTCCCTCCCACGTGTGTGCTCACCTCACACCTTCCCTCCCACGTGTGTGCTCACCTCACACCTTCCCTCCCACGTGTGTGCTCACCTCACACCTTCGCTCCCGTGTGTCTGCTCACCTCAGGGCCGTATCATACCTTCGCTCCCGTGTGTCTGCTCACCTCAGGGCCGTATACCCCAGAAACCACTGTGCACCTTTGGAGCTTGCCTCGTGAGTTAATGCATTCATTTTCCCCAGCATTGGACAGCAAGCCAAGAGCAGTATCCTGCTGGCATGGAAAATGAAGGAAATAAACTTTACTGTGGGGAGAAACCCAGGAAAGAAAAAACAGGGGCACAACCCTTCAGAAAACCAGACCCTGGGAAAGCGAAAGCCCCCGGGCACGTGGAACATCTGGAAAGTGGCTGTGAAAGCACCAAGGGGAGAGAAAGCAAGAAGGGGGGCTGCAGGGGCTCCCAAGAACCTCCCTAGGCCCCAGCCCTCTGTTCTCACTGCCTGCCCCTCTCGCACCACTCACGGGTGCTCCTGGATGAAGCTGCAGGCTCCAAGACCTCATCTGAGTCCCACTTAACTGGGCCTTATGCAAGTCACAGGGCCCCGAAGACTGTTAAAATGCCTATCAAGTAAAGATCAGCATTAATTATGACGCAACGAAGGCCGTTGACACCTATGGAACCACGGTGTGCTTGAGCTGGTGGAGACTCATGGGGCTGCAAACCCAGGATCTGCCCTTGCCTTATCAGCTGGAAAACTGTGTTTGCACAGGCAACATGGAGAAGGGCTCTGGGCCCTGCTGATGGTTAAATAGGGGATGAAAATGAAGGATTCTTCCTTTTCCATGACAGTTCCAACCACGAACCTGTGTTCGAAGGGCCAGTCCACCTGCGGCCACCTCTGAAGGCGGCATAGCCCAAATGCACACACCCTGAGAGGAGTGGCTCATTCAAGGTCAAGACAAATGTGGGCGCAGAGCCCCAACCAAGGCTCTTAGCCAGTGACCTCCAGCTGCTGATGGGGGCCTTCTCCGGAATCGAGGGCATGGTCCTACTGCAGAGCCCTGGCCTCCTGCACCCTGCCTGTGCCTCAGCCTCCCAGAGCTCATCTGTCACTGAATTCTAGCCCCAGTGTGCATGTCCAGCCTGGAGCTTTGCCTCTCCTGAGACAGCCTCACCTGCCCCTCTATCTGCCTGTAAGCTCCCTAGAGCAGGATAAGCCATTTGTCATTTCAATGGGATATGCACATTCAGATATTAGAGGCCTCTAATTTACTGGGGTTCCAGGATGAGAGACCCAGGAAATCATTACTGCTTGGTTCTATGAGGCCCTTTAGCGTAACCCCAGAGAAAGCCTCGGCGACCTCATCGGGTGCAGGTGACTCTGCCCCTCCTTCCTGCTCGCTGCCGGCGGGAGGTCCCTGTGTGTTTTGCTTCCATTCCGCAGGCCCTGTGCCTCCCCACACACAGGCAGGCCTGGCTTCCTCTTGGTCACCCCGTGGCCTGCTTCTCATCTCTGCGGGCTCAGTACCAGCGTGTGATGGAGTGTGGCCCATCTCCCGCGGGTGCTGGCGGATCACAGGAGGTTCCAGGCCCACTGTGCATGGCCCCTGCACCTGCTCCTCAGTCCTCTGCTCCTAAATTTTCTTGTTTTCTCCGTATCGGAAAGTGGGGTCTTGCTATACCAGGTAATCTGAGCCCCCGCCAGCACTTGCTGTCACTTGCTTTAAGACAGTCACACGGTGCGTGGGATGCCCTCTGAAGTTTCCATGACAGGCAGCGATCGCTACGGTCCCCAAGACCCGGCGTGGGAACCAGAATTCTGGTCTAGAGGAGACAGAGTTGTGTAGCCAGGAAGCAGCCTGGGAATCAGAACCAAAGAAAAATATCCCAAAATAAAGAGGAGAAGTCCTGTGTGTGGGGGCGGGGGTGGGGGGAGGGGCTGGGTAACAGGAGAGCCCAGTGCATGGAAGCCCAGAGTGCTGTTGTCCCTGCCTATGAAGGCAGCTCACAGAGCATCGGGTCATGCAATGTGACCCACGGCTGGCCAAGGCCGCGGGCCCCTCAGGCCGGTCAGGGGACACGGAGGCCTGGGAGTTTCTCAGGAACTGCGATCTGGAGTAGCTTGCAGGAGACCAACTCATTAGATGAAGATGATGCTTCAGCTCGTATTTCCCAAAAAGCAGAGTCCGGGGCCACGGCTTACGTGCGTTGCCTCACTAAGGAGCACAGTCTCCAGCACACGCGAAGTGAAGTGGGCAGGAGCTGGGCCACACACACGTGTCACGGAGCTGACGGACGGATGTCATGGCTGAGGTGTACCCGGGGCCATCCCTGACACGCCACACAAACCTCACCTCGAGACCAGTCTCAGCAGGGAAAAGGTGAGACAGTAACCCCTCGTCTGCCTCAAGCTGGTATCTTCCCCAGGGCACATACTTCCCTCACACTTCCAGATGGCCCCGTGGGCTCCACTCCGGTCTCAGGGCACTTTTCTTTCTTACCTAGACTCCCCGGGGCCAGCCCGGGTGCGAGGTGCCGTGGCCTCGTGCCCCCGAGGTGGACCTGCGTGCTTGCAGTGTTGGCCCCACAGCCACGACTGGGCTGGAGCAGAAGGTAAATCGGGCCCAGAGACACGAGGGGGAGAACGCAGCCTCCTCAGAGGAGCCTGCAGTGGCATCGCTGTGCTGAGGACCCCCAGCCCTGCAGGGTCGACCTCCGCCCCACGACGGCCCCACCAGGCCCAGAGCTGGAGTCACCCCTGCTGCCTCGGCCACCACGGGAGGAGGGACTCATGTTTTCCATCTGAACTCACCCCTCAGCCGCCTGCATGGCCGGGAGGAGAGGAATCAAGGTCCTGGAGACTCCCGGAGGTTGTGGCTTTGAAGTAAGCAACACGCCTCCTCCCGGACCTGCCTCCTTGAGGTCTGCAGCATTTAAATACTATAAGGATCACTGGGGTTTCTTTTTCAATCTGTCCAGAGGAAATAAGTAGATTAAGAATTAGCCACGGGGAAACAACAAAGCCTGGGGACAAAGCTGGCGCCAGATGGGAGGTGGCCGGGTCCTCTGGGAGCCACTCGGATTCACTGTGTCCCGTCGGCTCCCGAAGCGGCACCCGGGGGCGTTGGGAGAGACCCGCCTCCTCTTCTGCTGCCAGAGCCCGAAGGCACAGCCGGGAACGTGCCACCAGCCGCCCGTCCCCAGGGCCCTGCGTGGAGAGGGGGTGCTTGGGCAGGGGTTGCCCTGGGCTCCAGCAGGCCCGCGGTAGGCCCTGTTCTAATTCAGTTTGTGCCCATATCGGGCACATTTTAAGCTCTTTTTCTGTGGTGAGGGAGCTCACAGGCTTCCTGAGGAGACGAGCTCTCCACTGAAATTCCGTCTAAGCATCTGAGCTTCACTCACCGCCCCACCCCCCCTGGGAGGGAGCCTGACGGAATCACGGTTTTGTTCTCGTTCCAGCACGAGCCACAGGACAGAGATTCGTGTGTTAACACTCACTCTGACGCTGAAAGAAAGGAGTGATTATTCCCCTTTTACAGAGGAGGAAACTGAGTCTCAGGGGTGTTAACTGCGTGGCCAGCAGTCAAAGAGCTGAGGGGGATGGAGACGGGATGTGCGGCCGGTGGGGCTTCCCGGGGCTTGAACTACAGACACCGCATCCCTGAGGGAGGATTTCACATGACCTGCCTGTGGAAAGAAAGAGTCAAGCTGTTTATCTGTTCTTCAAGTAGGTATCCACCCACGGTTACAATGGAGAGGGTTTATCTTCACGCTTTTTTAAAAAATCGGCTTTAAAGAACAACCAACAGATTTGGCTCAGGGCAGTAACCGAGGGCAAACGCGTTGCTGGCAGGGAGTGCAGCTGCGGGAGCATTTTGGTGCGTTTATGTTCAAGGGTTTGACTTTTTTATTTTCTTTTTCAAAGCAAAAGTAGCTTCTAATTTTTCATCTTAGTGTGTCCAGCGCATCAGTTCCTCTTGTGCCCGTGTATACTCAGCAAAGTTTAAATGCAGCTGCCCTGGCCCTCGGGGATCCGCAGATTCTGGGTGAACGATGGTGAGGGGCCCTCAGGCCAGACAGCAGCAGTAACTTCTCCCAGGTGCTTCTCACTGTCTGCCTGGACTCAACGCTGTCAGCTCTAATTGACCCTTTAAATGGTGTGGTGCTGGGGGGGGGGGTGTGTGTGTGTCTGTGGGTGTGTCTGTGTGTGTGTCTGTGTGTGTGTGTCTGTGTGTCTGTGTGTCTGTGTGTGTGTGTCTGTGTGTGTGTCTGTGTGTCTGTGTGTGTGTGTCTGTGTGTGTGTCTGTGTGTCTGTGTGTCTGTGTGTCTGTGTGTGTGTGTCTGTGTGTCTGTGTGTCTGTGTGTGTGTGTCTGTGTGTGTGTCTGTGTGTCTGTGTGTGTGTCTGTGTGTGTGTGGGTGTGTCTGTGTGTGTGTGTCTGTGTGTGTGTGGGTGTGTCTGTGTGTCTGTGTGTGTGAGAGAGAGAGACCGAGGCAGACAGAGCACGTGCAGAGGACTTTCTTCTCCTTTGAATGACCAGGTGACCTCAGCTGCGGCCGGGTGAGGAGCTGCTTCTCTTCTGTCCCGTGAGCGTCTCCCGGGTATTTGCCAGCCTCATCCTTTCTGTGATCACAGATGGAATTTCTACGTTTCTGACACCAGCCCGACTGCAATTTAATTCTCACAAGGTATTTCCCGAGATTGCTGGTGCCCAATTCCTGAGCCTCCCTGGACACAGAGCAGCACCCGGGCACAGTAGTTGGCATGACGAGACCACAGGATGCCAGGACTGGGAGTGACGTCGGAGACAATAACCCACACACCAGCCTTGAATCCTGAAAGAAGTTTGCTCGTGGGGAAATTAGGGCAAGGCGTGTGCAGTGGCTCTGCCGGTCATGCCTTGTCCTTCCTCCATCCAGCAGGCCCTTCTCAGGAGTGTGATAGAGGCAGAGGCAGAGCGGAACGGGTGAGTTTTCCGCACTGCTGAGCTGCCTGGGTGCGAGGCTGGCGGGGAGCTTGGGACGCATGGGAGGGCCCTACACCAACCTCGTGTGAGCTCCGAAGCCCAGGAGCAGAGAGGAGGGTGGAGCAGCACTGTCCCTCCCGCACAGGGATATACTTAACGTGTGTTCCCATAGCTACACTCACAAAATGCCACAGAGGCTTCCAAAACCCATCTGTTTGGAATGTATCCAGGGTTTACTGAAAATACCAAAATCCTTAAAGAGACTTCAGCCTCACAAGAGGCTGGTGATTTGTAAGTTTGCATCCCGCATGCGATCTGGACGCCATGTTCCCAGCTCAGGGAGACGTTACGAGTTCCCCCTAAACCCACTGCTCTGAGCAGACTGAGCAGCCAGTCCTGCTCCTCAGGCGCCCGAGGTCTACGTGCAGCGAACTGGATTCAGGCCCACACTCATCCTCAGGTCCTGCCCCTGTGCTCATCCTGTCTCGCAGGCAGCTCGGCCTCTCCCCAGTGCAGAGGCCGCTTTTCTCCATTTGCTTTTCATCGCCCCACCCCACACTCCAGGTGGCACCAGCCTGTTCGGGCCCTGCTGATGCCCAATAAATGCCCGTGCCCAGCAGGCTCATGGTCCAACCATATGTAACCCCCATCTCCCCCACACCCAGTCCGTCCGCACCTGTCTCCCACCTGCAGGATCACAGCTCACATGAGGCAGCTCGGTCCCTCGGCGCTCACACAGGAGCCCTCCTGTGCGGACAGCAGCACCAGCACCGGCCTGTGGGGGCTTTGGCAGCCCATCCGGGGTTGGGTGTGGTCACGTGGGAAGGAAGGACGGGGGCAGGAGGCCGAGAAGGACGAGCACATCTGAGGCAAGCAGGAAAATGTTGAGCCTCTGAGTCATGACCTCAGGCCCCCCTCCAGCTTTCACGGCCCCACATGACCTCCCTGGGACCTGAAATCCGGCATCCAACAGACAATGCGGTTCTCAGCTCTCAGATCTCCCGGCTCCAATCAGAATTCAGCTCTGAGGCTCAGAGTTTATCATGTAATCTTTCCAGCGAGCACGAAGCAAAGCAGTGCTGACCAACTCCACTTCCCCGAACACATTTCTGTTTGTGTATTTACCTGTGAGTGATGCAGAAAGCACGAGTGTTAATGCCGCCCTCTGCTTGGGCCACACTTGGTCGTGCCATCGTAGCCACCAGGTGCCTTCCTGTCCTCCAGATGGCAGGGCCACAGGAAGCACCTGCAGGGCCCCCAGCAGAGGCAGGGCCCAGACTCAGGGGTGCGGCCACAGTGCAGTTCCCACCGATTCAAACACATGAGAGCATCACTGTAAAAGTAACACCTCCCAGCCTCAGCACGGACCTGCTCCCATCACACTGTCTTATCTGCCAGAACCTGCGTCCAGTGACGCCAAGCCAGAGGCTGCCGCCAGGTGACAGAGCCGTTCACCACCACAGGGCAGCAAGACCACTGCCGCCTCCCACAGAAAAACCCATCCTCTGTGTGGCTACAGGGGCTGACTTTGTTCCCAGCCCTGCCGAGCACTTGTAAATCAACACGAGGATTCGATGACCTGCTCACGCTTGGCTTATGCCAGGACAGTGCATCTAGTGAAGCTGGAGGAGGCAGTCAGTGCGCGTCGCCACGTGCCTCACACCGTCTCAGCAAACCCTCAGAACCACCTAAGACACCCAGAAATGCAGGCTCCCGGGGTGAGGGAACTTACGCAGTCTCTCAGCTGGTGGGAGGCAGGGCTGTGAACCGAACGCGGTTCTCTCTAAAAGGCAGAGCATTTCCCCTCCACACCTTGGCTCACTTTGTGATTTATCAATGAGGCACAATCTTATCTTAAAATAGTAATCTGCGCTGTGTTCTAATTTTTTTTCCTCCCCACCCCACCCACCTATTCAGGCAGAGTCAGACCCTTTCCTGGTTATCATTCAATGGCTGGTTTTCTTCTCAACATAAAAAGCAAAGAAGGTTGTCATTAATTACTATTCCTGTCCATTGTAAAAGATGCTACCAACTTAAGAAATGCTTCTCAGTGCCTAGGTCGGGAGAAAGAGGGGGAGATGTGGAGAACAGGTGGTGGCTGAGAAGACAGACTGGGAGGACAGACATGGAGGCACGCAGCCGGAACAGCTGGTCTCGCCCCGGGGAGACGTCTAAGGAAGGTGGGTGTGGAGCGGAGAATGCTCCCCCCAGTGCCAGCTCTAGAAAGACACCCAAACCCCCAGCACTGAAGGGCTGCGTGGACTGAGATGTGCGCCCTCTCTGCAGAGACCAACAGATGACCGGGGGCTGGAAGGCCCCCAGGCTTTGGCACAACATACCCCATGGGGAGCTTTACGTCACTGAGAGGAGCCATGAAAATGAATGAGGTTGGAATTTCAGCCAGCCCAGTAGAAAGGAACTAATCGCAAAAGTTCAGGTGATTTTTTTAAAAATGCTGAGTTTCTTGTTACCTTAGTGCAAGGTTTTATCTGCTTATTTAATCCTGATGGAAGCACCTTGCATGAGCGAGCCCAGCCTCGCCTGTACCCTCTGGAGCACCTGGACTCTATTTTGCTTATCTTCCCTTACCGGAATCTAAAGGCATCAGGCAGGTTGCCTGTTTTCCATCCAGATGTGCTGTCTCCTCTGTGCTGAACTGGATGGACGGGGAAACCACGGTGTGAGGAGAGCTGCGCCTGAACTCGCAGGAGGGTGGGGAGGCAGTGTAAGGTGGGTTGAGGTGTAGCATAAGCAGCCCTTCAGATCTACCTAATGCCTGGCAAGAAATGGGCATCACCAGGACAAACGGCACGGACATACCGGCGGGCACTGGCTTTGAAACAAAGGTACAGCCCTGTGATTTCCGTAGCAAGGAGTCTAGGACACTAGGCTGGAATCATAGCACGCCGTGGTCAAGGTAAGGAGGAGGAGTAACACTCTGTTAACTTCCATCAGAGGTTACCCAGTCACCTCAGAGCGTCTGCCCGTGTCCTGCAGAGCTCCAGGAAGGACAGACACGTAACTTCACTCAGAATTACTTCTAGTTTATAGCAACCCTGCTATGGTTGCACAGCCCTCCTGTTGCTCTTTCTGAAGTCTGGCTGAAATCGGGGTATGGCTGCAGCGTTGTCTGCTGTCAGGAATTCAGCACAACCGTGGAAATATATAAAACCAGCGTGGTGGATGCACATTTAGGAAAACTGCCCCGAAGTCAGAGGCGACGAACCAGACGTACCCTCAGCAACATGAGCGATGGGGTAAAAAGGAAAAAAATAAGAAAAGGCAACACATGATCCGAAGGACAGCACCCCTGAGGACTATTAATAAATAAATGGAGACAGGCGTCAGCAGGATGGCGGATTAGGAAGCTCCAGCCCCTTCAGCTTTCACAGAAACACTAAATAAACCACGCGGGACGGGCTAAAAAAATTTTATGGGAGCTCTGGAAATCATGAGACACTTTTGATTTAAAGACATATGAGTTGAAAGTGAAAGTATAAAAAAGGATAATTTATATGAATAATAACCAAAATAGAGCAGGGGTATCACACTAATGTCAGGCAAAATAAACTTCAAGTCAAAAACGGATATGAAAGATGAAGGACAAAAGGCATCATAGGCCCAAAGGGTCAATTCACCAAGAAGATAAACACTTACAAATATTCATGCACCAAGCATCAGAGCCCCTAGTCATGTGAAGCACACGCTGGCATCACTGAAGGGAGGAATAGACAGCTCTGCAATGGGAATAGGAGGCTGCAATGCCTCTCTCTCTCTCTCTCTCGCTCTCTCTCTCACTCTCTCTCTATATATATATACACACACACACATATATATAATATCTCTATCATATATATAGTATATAGATGTACATATGATATATATACATACAGATATATATATGTCACTCATAGATCAAACAACCAGACAGGCATGCACTGAACACAGAGGGCTGAACAACACCGTAGACCCACCAGACCCCACAGACACGTACCCAACACTCCACAGACAGCAAAATACACATTGTTCTCAAGAGCACATGAAACATTCTCCAGCACAGACAGAACAAGTCAATAAATTTTAAAACACTGAAATTACACAAAACACCTTTTCCAACCACAGTGGAATAAAACTAGAAATTGACAGCAGATAGAAATTGGAAGATTCACAACTGGAAACTGGAGATCAAGCAGCACACACTTAACAAAAACAATGGGTCAAAGAGAAAATCACAGGAGATATTATAAAATATTATGGGACAAATGAAAACAAAAATACAACATGCCAAAATTATGGAATGCAGTGAAAGCAGTGATAGGAGAGAAATTTATTGCTGTGAATGTTTACATTAAAAAAAGAAGAAAGATTTCAAATCAACAACCTACCTTTACAGGTTAAGGAACTAGAAAAAGAAAAATGAACTAACCAAATCCAGCAGAAGAAGGAAAGTAATGAAAATTAAAGCAAAGATCAATAACATGAAGGAAAGGAAAACAATAGAAGAAATAAATGAAATCAAGAATTTTTTTTTCAAAATTGTCAACAAAATTGACAAATCCCTAATTTGACTAAGACAAAAAGACAGAAGTTTCAAATAATAAAATTCAAATTCAGAAATGACAAAGGGAGCACTGCTATGGAGTTTACAGAAATAAAAAGGATTCTAAGAGTGCTATGAACAAGTGTTTGCCTGAAAATAAATAACCTAGGTGAAATGGACAAACTTCTAGAAACACGGAATTTACCAAGACTTAATCATGAAGGCAAAAAACATCTGGATGGACCTACAACTAGTAAAGAGATTGACTCAGTAACTAAAAACCTTCCAGCAAAGAAAAGCCCAGGACCAGGTGGGTTTACTGGTAGATTCTACCAAACATTTAAAGAAGAATGAACACCTGTCATTCTCAAATTCTTCCAAAAACGTTGAAGATGAGGGAACAATTTAGTACCAGGCCAGCATTACCCTGATACTAAAATGGGCAGAATAACTAAGGAGAAACTTGCTTAAAAATGGTCTTTAAATGGCCAATAAATTTAAAAAACGGAACTTCAATAATCATCAGAGAAATACAAATTGGTATGATAATGACTAGAATTTAAAAGATTAACAATGTTTAGTATTGGTGAGAATCTAGGAGAAAAAATATTAACACTCTCACACAGTTTTGTTAAGATATCAGTTGGTACAAATCTTTGCAAAGCCGTCACTCTAGTAAAGGTGAGCATAAGCTCAGCCCGTAACTCAGAGATTCTACTGCTGGATGTGCACAGTGAACTGTGCGCACGCACGAATCTTGGCATATGCGTAAGATGTTCAAAGCAACACTACCCATAATCACCCCAAACTGGAAACAGCTCAAAAGTCAATCAGCTGTAGAATGGATAAATAAATTGTGATGTATCCGTACAAGGGAATTCTAATTTTTTTTAGCATTTGAGCACAGGAATTGGTGTAATTTCCAAGTTTCTGCCAATGACAATCTTTCGAAACTTCTGATTTTAAAGAAATCTTCCCTCACCAACAAAAAGAGAGAGAGAATGAAATACATGATAAATGCATAAATGTAAGATGACGCTGTACATTGCTTTCAGGATTCTGGTGCCTGGAATGTAAAAACACTAAAGCCTGCAATGTTGTCCACTAAGGTGTAGTAGATTAAAGACGGCTGCAAATCACGTTCTGTGGCTCACTTTGAAAGGTAAAACATAATTTTGCTCTCCTTGAATCTGTACTCGCTTTGGTGGTTTGCTTGACCAGTAAACGTGGTTAAAGTAGTATTTTGGGACATCCAAGGCAGGACCTAAGACAGCTTGCGGCGTCCACCTGAGTCTCTTAGAGACGAATTCTAGGGAAATAGAGACAGAAAAAGCTGGACAACTCGGGGATGGCAATGCTGGGGAGGCCACGTGCAGGGTCCACAGCCAGTGATCCCAGCTGATTCCAGCCTTCCAGCCATCCTTGCAAATGCTGCAAGATGAGTGAATGGAAGGACTCCCATCCGCCGTCCAAGAACACAGTGGCCTCAGTCTATGCCACGGGGAGCCGAGGAACCACCCAGCTGAACTTTGCCTCAATTCTTGACCGTAAACTAGGGCATACAATTAGCAGCTGTTATTTTAATTGTAAGAATCACTCTCTAGTGAATACATATATATAATATATGTATATAAAAATGTGTGTGTGTGTATATATATGTGTGTATATGTGTGTGTGTGTATATATATGTATATAAAAAATGTGTGTGTGTGTATATATATGTGTGTGTATATATGTGTGTGTGTATATATGTATATATAAAATGTGTGTGTGTGTGTATATATGTGTGTATGTGTATATATATGTGTGTGTGTATATATGTGTGTGTATATGTGTGTGTATGTGTGTATATATGTATATATAAAATGTGTGTGTGTGTGTATATATGTGTGTGTATATATGTGTGTGTGTATATATGTGTGTGTATATATGTATCTATAACATGTGTGTGTGTGTGTGTATAGTATTACATATGAAATATGGCAATAGATTACCAGGACAGAAGTTAATACTGGGTGCCTGAGGTAGGGTGCTGATGTAACAGAATTCGACAACATACAGTGTTTGGTTCAGGATATGTGGCAAGCAGGAGCTATGAAGTCCTCAAAGAGACTCTTAGTAAAAGGTGAAAGGACAGGGAGGAAATTTCACTGGAGACAGGATGAAAGGAAACCCTTGTTATGTAGTGGTAAAATTTGGAAATATTTGTGCCTGCAGTACTGTGGAATAAAGAGGATAAAGCTACTACGTGTAGATTTGGCTTAAGAAATTTTCAGGCAGAGTGTCAATAGTGCCTACTGGTTTCTCATTGCTGCTCCCAGTAAGTTCTAGATACAGGCAAATCAGTAAAACAATTGCAAGCAAAATCTCGGGGGAAACAGGAAGGATCAAGGACTTGCCAGACTCCAGCCTCTCTAGAGTCAAAAGGCTCATGAAATAAGCAAGAGTCTCTAGGTAAGCGTCACCTCAAAGGTGTGCCTATAAGCCCTTTCTCTGAGATTTTGAAATATTTAGGGAGCATAGTTGTTCTCAACCAGAGAGAAATGCTTCTAAGAGTATTAAGGTGTCTGTCTACAGAAAGCTGCCTCTCAGGCCAAGCCAGAAAAGGTCTTGAGGAAATCTGTGTGCCTTTGTTAATAAACAGCAAGATATTTATATAAAATAACATAGAATCCCACAGAGTTCTCAAGAGAATTGTACGGGGAGATGCAGCATCCACTTGAAGGAAGATAAACAAAGACAGACTGTTTGAGACGAAGAGTCCCCCAGGTCCACAGCCTTTTCTGGACAGAACGAAAGCTAAGAAAACTGCCCAGCTGCAGACACAGGTCGTTTCTCACAAAGGGAAGGTGGTCAGGGCAGGAAGCAGAGCTGGTTGCCACACTCAGTCCCCGATCAGGAAGCAGAGCGGAGCCCGCACTAAGGAATGGGCAGAATGAGCCTGACTGGATTTCAGAACTGCTCTGATCCCTCCCTTTTCTCCCTTTTTGAACTGCAGAGTCTGTTGTACATTTCCTGCACCTGCCCCACCACCGTCTGCTGGGTGTGAAGGGGCAGAGAACTTGTCTCCTTAGGACATAAGTCTTGACAGTGAGAGGAACATCATATGAGCAAGTACATCCGGGAGCCTCCTCTGATCCTGACCCTGATCTAGATATTGATTTCTGGAGTAGGACAGTGATGTCTTACATTTTAGGTAATGATATTAATAACCATTGTTATTGCAGTGCTAGACATAAGTGAAGCCACCTCAGACCCTCCAGACAGGCCGCTCTGGCCCCTAAGAACCAACAAATGACCTCGGTTAGCACTACAAGGAACAGAAGAATCACCCAGCTGGACCCCGCATGACTTCCTAACCCACACAATCATGAGTTGTAATAAATTGGTTGTTTTAAGCCACTACATTTTGGGGTAGTTTGTTACACAGCCGGGGAAACTCGGAACACAAGGCTTACGTGTGCGCTCCATGTCTGCAAACTAATTTCATCCTGCCTCATGACATACCTGTTCCTACCTCTGTTCCATTGCTGGAAAGCAATTCCTTCAGAAGAATCACTGTTGTCCTGACCGTGTCTGTTCCCTTCACAGCTTTGAGCACCGTCTCTGGACCGTGGCAGGTATCCAACGTGGAAAAATGAGGACCATAGTCCAGCTGTGTTTCTCTTTATCTTTTCCTCCACAAGCACATTTTAGGTTTTTAGTTCTTTCTGTAATTCTAAGCACTGTGTGTCAGCCTAGGCACATCGCGTTCTTATTACAATCTGTCGGAAGTAACAGAGAAGGAAGTGAAAAATTACAGGGCGGAGTCACCAGCGTTGGTTGTGGAGTATTTAACCCTAGGAGGGGAAGGTGAAGGAGTGAGGACATGTGTGCACTTTTCTATAATCATAACATACTTCAATAAAAACTCAAAAAGAGAAGAGTGAATTGATAACTTCTGGGATTTCACTCAGTTTCAGCAGGCTGTCATTCCAGTCTGTCAATCACCCTAGCTTCCAGTTTCTCTTCTTTTCTTTGTCCCCTCCCTTTGGCGTCTCCCGTCAGTATAAAGGGAGGTGGAATGGGCAGAATGGGTGGGGGCACCACTGTCCCTCGGCTCCCTGCAAGCGACTTTGACCCCAGGCCCAATGGAAAAGGGGGCTGGGCCCCCAGAATTTCAACCAATCTTGGTTTTATCAATAAATGTCGATGACTGTCACTTCTTTATCCCTGGTAGACGGCTCCCAATCTAATCCTTATCTCTGAGCAGAAAAATTGAAACTTTTCTAGGATTGGGGAGTTTGTGAAAATCGTTACGTGGAGAAACACTTTTTATTTTCTGTGAGCAGATATGCTGAACTGAGTATTTCCCAATGACCTTCTTTATTTTGACGCTCACCTTCATGGCAAGCACAGGGTGCTTTGTCCTTGACGAGGGTGCTTTCGAGGTGACCTGCATTGTGTGTGGACTTGAGCAGCTCTCCCTGTGAAGCAGTGAGCCAGCTGTCTGAGCTAAAATCTAGGAGCTGGCAATAGTAAACAGAGTGTGGGACACATGTTGATTCTTTATCTCCCCCTTCCACTGGCCCCTGCCAAAAGCTTGTCGCCTGTCTGGTAGAATATGGAAAGTCAAAGGCAGCTCAGCTTCTGCTTGAGGATACCTCAAAGCTGGGCGCTTTAAGCTGGGAGGCAGGTTAGCCACCAGGCAGGTAGGTAGCAAGTCAGGTGTGCGTGTTACTCAGAGGTCAAGATGAAAGATCCAGTCTAAACCCAGACAAACGTAATAGGCAAACTCCGGCCAGCACGATGAACCTAGTGCTGAATATCTACGCAAAGCAGATGGTCCAGAGTCTCGAAGGGTATTTGGGAACCTGCAGGGCACGGTGTATACAGGGAGAGTGGGGCAGGCAGGACCACCGAAGGAAAGGAGGAGCACAGGGGCCTTCACTCTGGAGCAACTTCTACCCAGGCAGACAGGAAGCTACCGGGACAGCAGAGCCCGACCTGAGTCAGGGAGCTGGAGGCGGGGCGAGGGTGGGGTGCAGAGGGCATGGACCTTACGACATGGACAGAGCTGTCCACGACTGCCCGTTGGCTCACAGCTAACTTACCCAAAAAGTACCTGTTGAGCTACTACCTGCGGATGCCTGGCACCATTTGAAGCCTGAGAATATGAATGTGAAACTATTCCACACGTTCTGCCGACAGAACAACCTACAGATGGCACAGGTGTGCAAGAGCAGGTGACCAAGAGTGTGTGGGCTTCGGGGAGAGCTCACGGCGAGCCATGCTGTGCAGCAGTGTCTGCGGGCACAGAGCCACCAGCACGCCAGGTTTGGGACTCTGATGACACTATTCGTGCACTCAACAAATACGGACTGGGCAGCTTGCTCGGTGTGTGCTGTGTAGCTCAGGGCGGACATGGCACCCACTCTGCTGGAGCTCGCATCCTTGCAGGGGCAGCTCCATGTGGACAGGGGAGGGCATTGCACGGACTCCCCAGGAGAAGAGGCGGTATTGTAGGTAGTGGCCAGGCCGTGGTGCCGGTGGTGCTCTATGGCACTAGAAGAGCTTACACGTATTCCAGAAGCGTTGGAGGTCATTGAACTACTTAGTAAAGAAATGATAACCTAGGTGAGAAATCATGTGCTTCTCGGGGAAGAAAGGAAGCGAAGGACTCCAGGGATGTTCACGCCTTACTACATCCAAACCGGAACAAGTGAGTGGGGAGACCTAGGCTTCTCCCCTCGTCACGCCAGTGCTGCCCACCCTCACTGTAAGTGGATGCACTGAGTTGGGGAGGCTCAGACAGGAGCCTCGGCCTCCTTAGGAACGTCTGGTGTGACCTGCAGGGCTCCCTTCAGGCAGTGCCAGACCAGGGAGGTATTTCAGCCACGCTGGCGACGCCCCCTCTGCCTCGTCACTCACTTAAAATAGACAAAGGCCTGGCTTCTTCACCTTAGGTCCAGTGCTAGAAAGAAAGGAAAGCGTGAACATCTGCTAAAGGGTAGAATGGCAGTACGGGCAGTGAATTTAAGATAGAAAGCAAAAGGACAAGGCGGCCTCGGGTGGAGGGGCAGAGTGGGGTGGCGGGGTCCTGACGTGGGGAAGAACTGGCCCTGTGGGCCTCAAGGAGCCGGCCAGGGTGAGGCTGCGGAGGGGCAGGCAGCCTAGGCCCAGTGTGTCTGAAGGATGACCCTCCCAGAGGGTCTGTGGAGGAGGAGGAGAGGTCACTCGGGGCGCAGACAGAGCACGTGACGAGGCCCAAGTCTCCCCGACTGAGGAGAAGAGCCGGGGGTCAGGGCGGACACCGAGGAGGCTGCGCACACAACCCCCCGATGGGCCAGTAGGCAGGGCCCTGCCGTCCGCGACAGCGTAAGCGTGCGTGAGTGCGGGCGTGCGGGGTGAGCATCTCACCAAAGGAAGCCATGGCCGCACCCAGCCTCTGGCTTCCCCGTCCAGCCTCTTTGTGCTTCATGTTTATTGAGCTTAATGCTCGTTTGGTGATAACCTCAGGAAACCCTCTCAAATAATAAACTGTGCATGTATCCAGGTTGCCATCTCATTCTAGAAATACAGTTTTCCTATTTGGGATTAATTGCCTAAATGTCCTTAGAAGGTTAAAAGGGAACTGTCTCTTGAACATTAGTTATTAAATTATGTGTCACCAATTCATTTGCTGCACTGATTTGAGCTTCGTGACATTTCTTATTGATTGTTTGAAAGCAAACTTCCAATTATCAAAGGATCAGATCCTGCCAGCTCAAAATCCCTCTTGGAGTGGCAGAGAGCTGCTGGGAGAGTTTGAAGATCCCAGGTCTTTGTGACCAGGACGTGACTTGAGCGCTGATATGGGCATCAACCAAAGGAAGCGTTTTCTTAAGGAGGACGTTTGAGAAACCCGGAATCTGATTCTCGAAGCCACCACAGTGTGGCCGCCCTGGCAGAAGAGCATCTCGCATGCTTGCACTTTGAAGCCCAGTGCACTGAATGGGGGTCTGTTATGTTTAGGCTGGAGATAAAGAACCGCATTTGGCAGACATCCCGGCTCAGATCCTACCTTTTCCAAAGGCAGTATACTGCAGGTTCCCAGAGGTGAAGAAAGAATGGCCGAAATAGTAGCTTACGGTTTATCCTTCTTATCTCAAATGTCTGGGGAATAGGAATAATAATATTTACAATTTGTTAAAAATTTTATGGGCAGGCATTGTGTAAGTACTTTACATATTATACATATGAATACCTTTATAGATGTATAAATGTATACATGTAAATATATATCATAAATAACAACTGATACAGATAAAGATATCTACATCTATCTATTTAAATAGATGCATCAATCTCCACTTTTAACCCTTTCACCAATCCTCTGACATAGATATTACAATGGTCCCCATTTTAGAGATTAGGAAAATAAAGCAAAAAAATGTAAATTTGTTCAAAGCACATAGCTAGTAAATGTTGGCAGACCCAGAACTGAATTAAGGTGATCTGAGCCTAGAAATGATGCAACCTAGGCTTGAACTTATGCCTCCGGTTGCAAATGCAGCATTCGAATGCAAGAGTGAGTGTACAAGAGAAGTGTTGAGATGCGGAGGTGTGGCAACCCCACAGGCGTGGTGACCCCACAGGCGCTGAGACCCCACGGGCACGGAGACCCCACCAGGGATGTTTCCTGGCTTGTCCACCTGGTGACAGTCCCACTTAGGTCTGTGGCTCTGGTTTGCTGATGCAGAAGGAGAGGCAGGGTCTCATCTGTGTTTCCTGGTGGTGAGCCTATGGTAGGGCCGACTGACTTATTAAATCACAGTACTCTTGCCTCTGGAATTCCTCTGGAAGGACTTGCCTGAGGCTGTTTTATAGTTTACCTTTTTAAAAACAATTTAAGTATACTCTAAAATAATGGCAAAAATGGAGTATAGTAAGTACACAAACCAGTAACATGGTTGTTTATTATTATCATCAAGTATATTCTGTGCATAATTGTATTGTGATACTTTTATGGGACTAGCAGTGCAGTGAGTTGGTCTACACCAGCACGTGCACAAACATGTGAGTAGTGCGTTGTTATGGCATGCTAGTGCAATGTTATGACCGCTATGACATCACTAGGCAATAGGAATTTTTCAGCGCCATTTAAATTTCGTGGGACCACCGTCCTATATGTGGTCGGTCATGCAGCACTTACTATGTGTCTTCGTTGAGGCTGTTCCTTTGGCTGATTTTTCTTTTCCCTCCCCCTCTACCTGTTCAAATTCTACTAATACTTCAAAGCACAACTCGACTCCAACTGTCCCCATAAGACCTTCTGATCATCTTTTCATCATTCCTTTATTTAAAAAAATACGTATCGAGTGCTTTTTATGTGCCAGATGTTATTCTAGGCTGCATGGCTGGGATGGAATGTAGCCTC